TGGTTAATTTAATAATTGTTGTACATAATTTTTTGTTTTATTCGGAGAGAATCATGAAAGATGGAAAAATAAAATAAGATGAGAGAGAAGAGAGAAATTAGAGGGAATCATTAAATTATGTTTCTAACTATATATCACTCAAATCATTATTTAGGAAGTTACATATTTCAAGCTAACAAAATATTTTATTCGTACTGTTACACCTAAAAAATATTCGATCAAGAGGAGACATGGCCCACTTACGAATCTTAGTCCACAAGACGGACAAGGCCCAAAACACATACATCACTCCACGGACAACCCAAGCAAATACCATTAGGGTTGCCGATCGCTCACAGTAGCTTCTCAAGGAAGATTGACGATCAACTTTTCCATCTGAATATACAGTGATATAGCTGATAACACCTCTCATGCGTTTCCATCCACTTTTGTATGAAAACATGCGGTGCCACCATACGCCTCTAGCTGGCAATCCGCATTTAACGTCATAAACTTTTTCGTGTATAAATACTGATCCTTAAGGCCAAAAGAAGCAAACCAAATCCACCAAAAGAAAGCATAACAAGGTCAATCACGTCCATAACATCACAATCACCATTATCCTTCCCTATATTCTATGTAATACATGTCTGGTCTCTTGAAGATCACATACAAAAATACTTGGTTATGTCTATCATACAAAGATTCTAATAAAATTTCAGAGAAACCATCTCCTAGCCGATTGGCAATATATGTGTCTTGTTTTTACGCATATTTATTTTATTCCGATCTCCCTATATTTCATACTACTGAAATACACCATAATTATATCGTAGCTCCAGATTAAACTGCTTTAAACATGTTTATTGTAATAATTGGCCACTCGCCGTCAATTGAATGGCGCTAAAGGAAGACGACCATCAAGGGTTACATCTGAACCTTGATCCTATAAAAAGCCAGTCCTCGATAAGATTTTCTCATACACTTGTCATACCATCAACTTCCAAAACCTTTATCAAATGAAGGACAACATTGTCGGCCATCTCATTACTGTCATCGACCAGGTGAATGGGTGGCTCAGCTTACCCCTCTGCTTTTGATCGTCTTGTTATCTTGTCGATATTTCCCTCAAACTGTCCAAATATGTGCTTTTTTTTCTCCTCTCCCTGCAAAAGGCTCATATCTATACTTTTGGGAAAACTCTCATATTATCCCACCTTTGACAAGAATATAGATCCACTAGTCCACCCTCGACAAGAACATGAGGGTAGATGATTCATTGATCCTCGAGTAATCCTAGCCTTCTCGAGCTCAGGGGGTCTAAGGAAGGATCAGATGAAAATGCCGTTGTTCAATCTGACCATATCCTCTCACTGGGCCCAGAAACTCTAACCAAGTTATCAACTTTGTAATGGTTAGGCGACCACTGTCATATCTCAGTCATGATCGCTCGACTAGTCTACTGTCACACTGGGTTAGTATTACACGACCGAAGGTATGGACAAGCAATGACCTGTAGAGTAAATCTCAACCTAGGGTTGAGATCAACAATCAAGGTCAGCCGAGACTAAAAGCTTCCCCCATTATCAACGGTGAACCCACAGATTGCTACAACTGCAACTGATCTGTGGAGAGAGCACCCATGGGATATTTTGGTAAAATATCATCCCATGGAAAGAGCATCATATGTAAATTTTCTACCGATCCTTGACCACCGCGTCTGATTACCTGAGAAAGGGTTGATCTGTGCAAAGATGCCTCATATAACGTTTTCGGCACAATATCTTTCCGTGAAAGAATGACATGCTGATCAATTTTCATTTCTGTGAATAGGCAATCGTGCTGATCTACATCAACGGTGATATGGGATACTGCACAAGGTAGAGAAAACCTGCTAAACTGAACAGACAAGCTAAGCAAGCCGATTAGTCGAACATAGTCGCAAGAAGGTCGAACGGAGGTCGAATGCCAGTGTAGAATAAGGATTCTTCAGGATGAGGAAGATGTGAGGGGTCCAAACGGGTAACGACAAGTCGAGCTAGGGCCCTCAGATGGCCTGTCGAAAACTAAACCTGTAGGTAAGGATGGTCGTGTGATCGACCAGAAGGACAACAATTAGGCTCAGTACGAGCAACATTCTACCTCAACGAAATTCGAGGTGGTTACACGATTAAGTGGTCTAATAAGAAAGACTAATGGATAAGAAGAAATATTAATTGGATAACGACTATATGTGGGTAGGGCCACGTGGACTAACAGAATTGGGCAGTTTAAGCAGTACAAAATGGAAGTTCGGGCAGCCCACTTGGCATTCTTGGGCAACTAGGTATCATCTACCTATATAAGGGAGTAAGGTATGCACATTTCACATTACATTCTCTATATTCTCTACATACATACATCATACCATCTTCTTCACTGCGTTAACTTAAGCATCACAGGCTCTTCACTGGAAAACCCCTCCGGTATGAGAGTTTTTCCAGGTCTAAAGGACGTTCAACTGGAGAGGAGCTCAAAGGAAGCCAAATTCCAGCTCGTCAAAAGACTTTTATGTACCATTTGTCGTCGTCTATGGGAATCTGTCAAAATCCATCGGAGCTTCTTCATCCATGGCGAGCGAGATTCATAGGAGAAACATAGAGCAAATGTTCGATGATGCATGGCCAAACACGCGTCCACTTGGAGCAGGGCCACCACTAGGCTTCTTCGAACCTCTTCAGACCTTGATGGCCCGGACGCCTCATCTAACAGGCCTAGGAAGCTCATCGACGGTCCAAGTTGCAGTCGCAAGCCCGAGAAATCCACCAGAGGCTCGGGCAACCACAGAGGTCGCAGATCTGGCCAGCGCATAATCTAGATGGGCGGTATTCTAGGCAGTGGAGCCAAGAAAGAACGAGGTCGATCGATAGCAGTTGGTCACGATGACGAGAGAAAGGCTAAAAAAGATGATAGCCAACACGTTGCAGCTGGAGCAGCCTAGCAGGCACACGAGACATCCCACGCAACCACCGCATCGACCACGGTGGTGAGCACCAGCATCAATGAAACAGAGACGGATGACTCGAGCAGTAGGGACGCGGGTATGAATAGCGATAGAGTTATGGAAAAGATGGCGGAGCAAATTCGCCAATTGTAGGCCAAGGTTGACGCACCAACTATCTAGTTTCTTTACACTGCTAATGCTGCCAGGTCGAGCTCGAGGTCATCTTCTTCAGCCTGTGTTTGAACATGGCTTTTAAGACAATGTTTTTGCTCTTCACACTGTCAAGTCATAGTTGATCTCAAAAGTACGCAAGTCTCCAAGCAAATCATCTCTACCCCGTGGTTGAATCCTCGTGAAGCTTTCTAATGCACTAATTTTTTCAGGGAACCTTTTATGAAGAGTTCTCATGAGTTCTTTTATCTGCCTCGCTTCAGAGACTTCTTCACTAAACATGGCATTTTGATTTACAAGGCCACATGAACGAGCATAGTACTTGTTTAAAATATTAAATTGATTCAATAGAAAATATCTTAACATTGTCCGACCATTTTAATTTATGAATATGATTGTTGCAGATTTGGTTGTACAATGACAAATAAAGTTTGGAAGATCTTTGAAATCGCCGCAAATTGAAGAAAATCGCAGCAATATTTCCATGAGAAAAATATCGAAGGCTAATATATGTTAGAAATTGAAAGAAAATCGCCGCAATATTTGACCCAATAAAATCGCCGCAATCTATATATATATAATTGCTGGCAAGCTTCAATAATAATACGAGTTCATTTAATAAAAGTAGGTGTTCATTTAATAAAAATATGTCCACCATTTAATAAAAATATGTAACTTTCGGTTACACAATTTATTTTGATAGGTCCTCTTTTGGATGGTGCCCATTTCGGAAATCTTTTTTTTTTTATGTCCTGAATTACAAAATGTTTTTGTTTTTATTTTGATACTATATGTTTTTTGCTATTATAAAAATACATATTTCACAATTAATTAAGAATGATTACAGATATCTCTATTTTCTATTGTAGTCAAACAATAATAAAAAAATATTTTTTTGGATATTACAAAGATATTTAAAAAATCAAATCTCAGAGTCACGAGTCGAAGGGGTTTAACGATAATGATTTGTTGTGATAAGAATTCTGATGATAGGAAAATCACAAATGTTGTATAAGAGATGTTTAATAATATTTAGATTCACATTTTTAAATTATTTCTTTTCTCATTTATTAAGTTATGATTTTTATTTTAATCTATATTTTTAATTACTTTCTCTTCTATTATATCGCTTTTCGTGCAAATGCACGTGGTAAAACTAGTTGAAAGAAAATCGCAGCAATATTTCCGTGAGAAAAATATCAGAGGCTAATATATGTTAGAAATTGAAAGAAAATCGCCGCAATATTTGACCCAATAAAATCGCTGCAAATTGAAAGAAAATCGCAGCAATATTTCCATGAGAAAAATATCGGAGGCTAATATATGTTAGAAATTGAAAGAAAATCGCCGCAATATTTGACCCAATAAAATCGCCGCAAATTGAAAGAAGATCGCAGCAATATTTCCATGAGAATCGCCGCAATGTTTGACCCAATATATGCTAGAAATTGAAAGAAAATCTAGTTAGCCGTAGTATTTGACAATATATGTATAAATTTGACTTTTTCATTTTGAATTTCAAAAAATGCCGGGCTTTTCCAAATTATTTACTAAAAAATGTAAAATTGAATTCTTTAGGCGGAAAATTAGTTACTTTTTTACGGTAAATGCCAAACATTTTTATATATATAGAATATAGATATAGATTTTAATATTATATACATAAATATAATTTACAATATTCTATTTACATCTGTACAAATACATATAGTCGAATACTAGTTTTATATACATTTATACACATAACTTATAATATTTATTTATATTTATGCATATGCTTAAACTAATTATTAGTTTATAATATTTTTTTATTCCACAATTAATTTATATATACGACTATAATATTACTTTAACGTACGAGGGTGTCAAAATAGTCAACATGACCAAATAATATTCTCTCTCTCTCTCTTCACTGGCACCTCCATCTTCCCTATATATAGCGCTAAACACCTCCATTGCCCAATCATCAAAGCTTCTCCCTTACCTGTCAATACTTATTACATAATACCAAAATAAAAGCAAGACAGCAACAATCGACCAAAAACGTCTCATTCGGAGATACGCATTTTCCCCTGTCCTCGAAGAGAGGAAAAGAAAAATTTCCCGCAATTTCCACCATATTTCCATAGATCCTTGCTGCAATTGCTGATCCATAGATATACCTTCATATATATACGCATCCAAGTTTTCCTTTTGCATTTGCGTGTGTTGATAATGAACATTTGATGGAACAAAAGCACGTTTTGCTGTCGGCATTGAGCGTGGGGGTCGGGGTAGGTGTGGGTCTCGGTTTGGTTTCCGGGTCAACGCTCGTCCGATGGGCTGGCGGCTCCGCCTCGAGAGGCATCTCCGCCGAGGAGATTGAGGCGGAGCTCGTAAGGTTGGTTGCTGATGGCAACAATAACAAGGTTACGTTTGAGGATTTCCCGTACTATCTCAGGTAAATAAAGTGGAGGAATACTTAATATTGAGAAAAAGAGGGGGCCTTTTTGTGATTTTATGATTCTTTTTGCAAAATTGCATACTTGTCGGTTCTTGGGTTGGTTTGAAATGTTTTATGATCGAGTGGTTTCGTTAATAAGTTTATTTCATTTTTTGTTTACTTTTTTGTGTTTTTAGGTTAAGAAAGTAGGAAAAGGAGCTCTTGTGATCGGTAAATGAACAAGTGGCAGTTATTGTTATTTTCAGTTTGAGGAAGGATATCGATAAATTCTCGGAGCTTACCCGTCTTACTGATTCATAGTTGTTTTATTAGATTCCATGATTTGACAATTTTTCAGGAGTATTTTTTTTATATTCTTTTATTTCCTCAGGTACATATCTAGTAGTTCTTAGAAGAATGAACTGTATGTTTTATGGCTTGTTAAACTATACTGAACGAAAAGCATTACGTTCGATTTTCTTTTCTATTTTTCATGTTGGTCTAGTAATGTTGATTTGCTAGTTTCAGTTATGGATAACTGATAAAAATTGGTTTTCTGTAACTAAAATTAGTTTGTTAACTATGGCCCTCTTGTAATGTAACTATTCGTTTTACATCTTACTCGAGTTCGATTTTACTAATTTCACCTTGTAATCATGCAAAAGAAAAAATTCTAATCATCTACCCTGCTCTGGTTACTACTTCTGACAGTGAACGGACACGCGTGTTATTGACAAGTGCAGCATATGTCCATCTAAAACACTTAGATGTCTCTAAGCACACCCGGAATCTTTCACCAGCTAGTCGGGCTATATTACTCTCTGGGCCCACAGGTACCGGGATTTTTTTATCATTCCATATTTTCAGGATATAAATATTTAGTGATCATCACATGTTTTGTTGCCTGTGTAGTTCTTTCTTTATCGTTTTGTTTTCACCCTGTCTAGAATTATACCAGCAAATGCTTGCTAGGGCTCTAGCACATCATTTTGAAGCAAAGTTGCTACTCTTGGATTTAGCTGACTTTTCACTTAAGGTAAAAGTGTTTGATGTGTTATCTTCTGTGCCGATTCATATTTTGCGTTTGTGTTTGTGTTTGTGTTTGAAATAATACTTTTACAATTTATTTATTTATCCATTGTTTTTGGTACTTTCATGGTCCGCAGATGCAGAGCAAGTATGGTGGCAGTGGCACAAAGAAAGATTCTGTAAGTCCTGTTNAAAATTTATTTCAATGTATTAAGTTTATGATTATGAGACTTTGCAATCATACTATGAAAAATCATTGCATCTTGTAAATTAGATTAGATTAAGTCAATGCTATTAGAGTTGAAAGTTTGCACTGATTTTCACTTTTTCCTTGTTGCAGTCTCTCCAGAGGTCGATATCAGAAGTGACGTTAGAACGGATGTCCAGTTTTTTCGATTCATTCTCTGTTCTTCCATCAAGAGAGGATAAGAAATGTATGTGTAAGTTTATAATAATATTTATTTCATCTTATTTATCTATGTTAAATCATAAATGCAGCTTGGATTTATTTGCCCAGTGATATTGAAATTGCTAATGGTTTTTTACTTTAGCTTTTTCCTCATAGCAGTCAAATTTTATAAATATATATGGTTTACTTAAATTTCTCTCAATCTATTTTACCAACTGATGCACTTGCACCAAACATTGTACAGTGCGGAGGCAAAGCTGTGAGTTCGATACTGCAGTAAGGTATGCTTACTGAATTTTAGAAATGATTTCAAAAAGATAACATTGATTTTCAATTTGATTTCAGAATAATCCAGCTATAACTCAAAACTACAAAACCCCCCTTGGTATTTATATCCATTTATCAGAGGGATGTATATATGTCTCATTGTTGTAATGCCTTGAGGAGGTATTTGTGATTTTTGACAATAACTGAATTTTTTTGTAGCTAGTTTAACTTTAGAGGTAATATTTGTAATGTATCCGTAAAATATAGCCAATTTAGATTGATTATCTACTTGGCTCTCAACTTTTGCACCCTAAAGGAATGCTGAAGGAGGCACCAATTCCTCAAAGCCTAGGAGGACTTCATCTATCTCTTCAGATATGAGTAGCATGAGTGCCCAATCGTCCTCTACCAATGCAGGTTGGCATATGCGAGTTATTCTCATTAGGATAACTTGCATTTTTTTTCTGTTTATGGTTTCATTATTATTCTAATTGCCGAATTTTAGATTTTTGGTCTTGCATTCACTTCCTGAATTTTTACTAAATGCAAAATGCAAATGTTAACATCTTCGTGGTCCACGGTGACTTTGTCAGCTACTTCCAAGCGCATCAACAGCTGGTCTTTCAATGAGAAAATCTTCGTGCAGTCACTTTATAAGGTAATTAATCGCACGATCAATTGTCAATGGATAGCTCAATTGTCAATGGATAGCTCACGTCAATTAGATGAAGCCATTCATTTACAGGATCTTTTCATTATCCTTCTTTTGAGTATTATCTTAATATACTTGGAAATAATTGCAAATACTACCCTTCTAATTTTAAAAAAGAGAGAGCAAAAAGAATGGCTACACCTTAAAATTAAAGTTATTAACATACTTCGTATTTGAAGTATAGCTAATTTGTAAATGACTGTAATAATTCAGGGCGTCCATAATTTTGAAACATAGCTAATCATTTATTAATTTATTTTTTAATCCAAATAAGCCAGAGGTAGTTATCATACTTCATTCATGCTGATGGTTTGCAGCTACATTTTCATATTTTTCCATGTTAACTACTCTATTTCCTCTCAGTTACATAAGAAACTATAAGCCCCCTCTTTTTTCTTTTTTTTTTGCAGGTGTTGGTTTCTGTTTCCCAAAGCAGTTGCATCATCCTCTACATCCGAGACGTGGACCGTATTTTTCTCCAATCCCTTAGGCTCCACAAACTTTTTGAAAAGATGCTCAATAAACTATCAGGATCTATTCTTGTCCTAGGGTCCCGCATGCTGGACTCCGCTGAGGATGCTGTTGAAATAGATGAAAAAATCAGTCTCTTGTTTCCTTACAACATCGAGATCAAGCCCCCAGAAGATGAGAGTCGTCTCATGAGCTGGAAGGCTCAGCTGGAGGAGGATATGAAGAAGATTCAGTTTCAGGACAACAAGAATCATATTGCTGAGGTACTTGCTGCAAATGATCTCGAGTGTGATGACCTGGCCTCGATTTGCCATGCGGACACAGTGGTTTTGAGTAATTACATTGAGGAAATTGTGGTCTCAGCCGTTTCGTACCATTTGATGAATAACAAGGATCCCGAGTATCGTAATGGGAAGCTCATTATATCTTCCAACAGGTAGGAAACGAAACGCAATCATCATTTTTTTTTCTTTTTTTCTTTTTGGAAAAGGCTATTTTGATTTCTTTTCTGTATCCCAAAGGATAATTGCAGACTGCATCTTGAGTTTAACTTAGTTTTAAAGGAATTCCCCTTTGAGATTTGTATTTAGTTACCTAACATATACTTCTTTGCCTTATATGTCTAGAGGTTATTTGCCATGCCATAAAATATTTGAACAGTTTAGTATTGAGACTAAACATCTGGCTGGTTTCTGTCGGGGATTTTCGAAAATTACAAAAATGATCTTGAAACGCCACAAATGTAAGCATGGGGGCTGTTTTAGATGTAATTATTCCATTAAAATGTATAGAGCTTAGTAATACCAAATCTCAAGGGGTTATTTTTTACTCTATAAACCTGTAGGTTCTTGTATACTTTTTTTTTTTTTTGTAGGTTCTTGTATACTTAGCCTATAAAATGTTCATGCTGTCCTTTCACTGTAATGATCATGTTGTCTCATCTTCAATGTAATTTCTTGCAGTTTGTCCCATGGATTAAGCATCTTTCAAGAGGAAAAAAATGGTGGAAAAGATTCGCTCAAGATGGATGAATCATTCAAGGTTTGTCCTTTCAGCTGTGATCTAGTTTTCCGAGCTAGCTAAAACTTTGGTAGGTCTTCGCAGATTCTCTTATTCTTGTATTTCTCATTCCATCAATGTAGGATGCAAAGTCTGAAAACAAGACTGAGATTTCTTCTGCAAAAGCAGATGGCGAAAATTCATCCATCTCAAAGCCACCGGTAAGCCCTAAACTTGTTTTTGATTTATAGCCATTTAATAAAGTTCGGACTTGATGTGTTAAAATGTAATTAAAACACTTATTACTGCATAGAAACTGTTACTTTATAAAACCTATCTCCTTGATTTGTGTGGGATTCACTATCCTTAAAATCAATTTATCCTCCAAAATGACCTGATCATTTTGAGTTACTAACAGCAGTGTTCTGCAAGAACTGCTTCCAAAAGGAGAAAAAAAAAATGATAACATTCTTGTAAAAGGGGAAAGTAGCTTGGAAAAATAAGTTGGCATTGTTTATAAATAAAAACTAAAATTTGAACAAAATTGACAATTATACATCAAATCTGATGATCAAGATGTAAAAAAATCAGACTTACTTCGCACATAAGATATTTAAACTAGAAAACCAGAAATCTAGGGAATTGCCCCTCCTCATGCATCCATATCCTGATTAAATATGCATATTAAGAAGAAGAAGAAGACAACTTCTTAGCCAAAGGAAAAACAAAGTGATCTATTGTAGAAGAAACAAAAAAGATAAATAAATTTTGGTGATTAAGCTGTAGAAAATAGTATCACTTTCTTAGCGGGTAAAAAATTCAAACTTGAGAATGAGAAATCTAAATTCCCCCTACTCCATCCAAACCCGTTCATTCCCTGATTTTTTTTTCGGAACGATAGACTTCCAATAGAAAAAAAAACACACATAATTACAGACTAGAGAGCAGCTAAACAGCTGAATTTGGCTACTCGGTTGACTCTAGTTGGGAGGACTAACCCATAGGTAGCTAGCCCGAGGCAGCCTAGGACCAACCAAAACACAACATTTTTAACCCATAGGCAGCTAGCCCAAGGCAGTTTTGGATACAAATTCAATCCAAAAAATCCAATCATTATTAACTCAACCACTGTTTTAACTCAACTTAACCTCAACCTCACTATTATCAATATAATTAAATAATATCTATCAATCATTCTTACACACAACATCAACCTTAATTCACTATTCATCAACTTACATAATTTTAACTAACCATCACATCTCATCTTCTCTCTTCTACTTTTACATCAATTTAATTTTAAATATTATTTTAGTATACCCACTAATAACTAACCATACCCACTTTTTCAAATTTAACCAACCCAAATAAAAAATCCAATCAAAACAAAATATCCAAAACAAGAAAGCAAAATCGAACTTTGAAGCCACAAAAGCTAACAACTACGATAAAATCATCATGCTACACAGGAAGTTCCTCCCGACAATGAGTTCGAGAAGCGCATAAGGCCCGAAGTCATACCTGCCAACGAGATTGGGGTCACCTTCTCGGACATCGGTGCACTTGACGAGATAAAGGAGTCCTTACAAGAGCTCGTGATGCTTCCCTTACGCAGGCCTGACCTCTTCACTGGCGGGCTCCTGAAGCCTTGCCGCGGCATACTCCTCTTTGGGCCTCCGGGCACTGGCAAGACAATGTTGGCCAAAGCCATTGCCAACGAGGCGGGTGCCAGCTTTATAAATGTGTCAATGTCGACCATCACGTCCAAGTGGTTCGGTGAGGACGAGAAGAACGTGCGAGCCCTCTTCACGCTGGCAGCAAAAGTGTCCCCGACTATTATATTTGTGGATGAGGTCGATAGCATGCTGGGGCAGAGGACGAGGGTCGGGGAGCACGAGGCTATGAGGAAGATCAAGAACGAGTTCATGACGCATTGGGATGGGCTGCTGACGAGGCCTGGCGAGAGGATTCTGGTACTTGCTGCCACAAACCGCCCGTTTGATCTCGACGAGGCCATTATCAGGCGGTTTGAGAGGAGGTTTGTTTAACTATCTTGTACTTGTGCCTTTATTTTTTGGGAGGGATAGTCAAGAGCTATCTTTCGAAATTAGAAAAAAAAACCACTTTTTTGACGCCCTCAATAGGGAGGATGTTTAGTAGTTTCAAAAGGAATTTGATATTTTATTTTTATTCTTAGTTTTTTGTTAATGAGATTTTAAATCTAAAGGACAATTCTTGTAATTAGCTTTAGAAAATGCTGAATTGACTGATACACACATGTTTTTTACTTGCTGAGTTAAAAGCCCACATTTAGAAGATTTAATAGTTATTGTTGTCAAGGCAGTTCTCATACACTTGGACATGGTATCGCTTTAACTTTAAAGAGTATCTGGAGATTTATACTCAGTCTCCGTTAAGATTATTTTTTTTAAAAAAAAAAAGAAAATGACTGGGCTTTTAATCTTGGATGAATAGGATTATGGTCGGTCTACCCTCAGCAGAGAACAGAGAAATGATACTGAGAACCCTACTGTCCAAAGAAAAAGTAGAAGACTTGGATTTTAAAGAACTTGCTGTCATGACTGACGGATTTAGTGGAAGTGATTTAAAGGTTTGTTATTGTTAGTTACAAACATTATCGAAATTAAACATTTTGTAATCTTCAGTCACTGAATTGTTGCTGTAACTGTTTTGGAACAGAATTTTTGTGTGACAGCTGCTTACCGGCCAGTTCGAGAGCTTATACAACAAGAAAGCCAGAAGGATAAGGTACCTTTTTCAATGTTTTAAAAATGGTAGCTGCTTCTTTTTTTTCTCCCAATTTTTCAATTGTGAATGATGTTATATATATTGTGTAAACTGACCACTTATTTCCTGTTTTTAGGAAAAGAAGAAGAGAGATGAAGAAGGGAAGGGCTCTGAAGACGCTTCTAGCGCCAATGAAGAAACTAAGGAGGAAAAAGTTATTTCACTGAGGCCCTTGAATATGGAAGACATGAGGCAGGCAAAGGATCAGGTAAAAATCAACGACTAATAAGTATGTTATTAAGGAAATTCTGAATTTTGATGTAAACCAGCCAACGTTTCAAAATTTCAAACACTCACTTAAAGTTTACTAGCTCATGAATCTTGTCACATGAGACAACATGCATAGTTTCTTATTGGATGACGAATTATCTGAATATATTCAGTAGGACAACAAAACTTTTACGACAATTATATTAAATATTGCAAGTTCTTGAAGATTATTCACATATATGGTCCTGTAGGTTGCTGCTAGTTTTGCTTCCGAAGGGTCCATAATGGCCGAGCTGAAGCAATGGAATGAACTATATGGAGAAGGAGGCACCAGAAAAAAGCAACAGCTATCTTATTTCCTGTAGAGCATCAAAAGTTCTCGCCATTGTGGGATGGTCTTCAGTTTGTGTTCTTTCATGAAGTTGCAAAAAATTGACAAAAAAAATTGGAACTTATGGCCTAAAACATTGAACCAAAATGTATAAAGTTGGTTCTGATTCTTATAGGGTTTGTATTTTGTCTTGCAATTATTGAACTGTTTCGGCCGGGTCAAGCATCAAGGACAAGCTTATGAAGACGATGGTGTTTTGAGATATGTATGTTATAAGATTCTGTAGCAGCTCCATTAGTCAGCATCCTTGTAAATGTATGTGCAAATTAGGTGCGGACTTTGATCCATTGTTTGTTTATTTTTATATTTCTTTTTCTTTTCAATTATTTTTTTCCATTTGCGATCATAATGAACGGTGAAATTTGTTATTAATGTGGTTTCTTGAGACAATCTTGACTTTTGAGTTAATTGAGAGTTTCTGATTTGTAGTTCGAAATTGTTGGAGTGTAGTTTTAGGAGTTTCATTGTATGGATTATCTCAAACTTGGTATCAATTGGAGGGTGTCCTTGATCGATTAGGGTTCCATTGCTCTTTGCGTTTTGCTTTCCTATAGTGCTTCCGTCCTCTTCTGGTGGTTACCCCTTGTCCCCTTCCTTTTCACCTTATTGCACGTTGTTTGTTGTGTGTTTCTTAGAGGGCTAAATTGTTGTTTCTCCTATTTTGCATATCTCAAACTTGATTTCTCTCTTCTTTTTTTGGTCATGGATTCTGAAATTATGGCGAAGCTGCGAAAGTTTGATCTTTCATCGAAGGAGGAAATAGGGATTACCGTATCATAGGAAGATATAGTTGCGGGGATTCAGTATAGTTCGCCTAGCCTTTCAGGGAATGTTATTGAGGAAACAGTCAACTTTGGTGGTCTAAAAGAAACCTTGGGAATTATTTGGCGAACCCATAAGCCTTCTCTACGAGAATGATGGGTCACAACCTGTTCCAGCGTCTTCCAAACTGAGGATAAAGAGTGAATGGATCTTTCATTCTTTTAAATCTTTCATAACAAACATGGAAATGAAAGAGGTTTCTTTTAAAGGTTATCCTTTTACCTGGAATAACAATAGGCACGACTTTAAGCTCTACTAAAGTCTCAAGAGTATAATGGATAACTCGTGCTGAAATCGTAAAGCTCACCCCTATATATAGGGGTGAGATACCTGCTACCAGGAGGAGCTGAGGTGGCTGCCCAAAGTTGTCCAGCCTTCCCTGTCGTACAACACACACCGGTGGTGTGTCAGAGACGATTATGCTATATGGACCAATCAGGTCATACCACGTGCCCTCCGCACGTTGGGGTATGATTCCTCTAAAATCTCCTCAAAGGCTCTTATGCTCGACCAAGTCTAGGTCGATCCGTTGACTGCTCCCAGTCTGGAAAGTGGTCGATCAAACAACCATCTGTACCACAGGTCGATCTTCGACCAGATCCTCCATGGATTTGGGACCGACCTGTTCTCCATGTGTCGGAACCTCCTATAAGCTGCCTTCCAATCCAAAGGCTCTTGGTCCTGTGACGCTCGACCATGACCACCTTGTCCGGACTCTGTTCGACCTGAGCGGCCCGTTCGGTTTGCTCGATCAGCTTACTAGGTCGGTTCGCTCTTCTAGGTATAGTATCTCATATCATCTAGTCTCCCTCACGCTGGTCGAGCCTGAATGACTCGATCTAAGAGTAGATTTTCATACATCCACCAACTGTCGTCGCGCCCGCTATCTTTCGACCATCTGACATGTTATTTCCTGTTTTTCGACCACCTTGCCTCTCGACCACCATTTTAAGTTTCAGAATTCGAAATCGCCACCTACTGCGTCTATCATATGCGGCACTTCACTTGTCAGGCTATTAATCATTACCTCATAATGTGCGCCTCCTCGGAAGCTGTGTGCATTAAGTGTGTCTTCCCGTCAGATCTGCTTTTGATTCAACGACTATTTTTCTCGTCTTTTCAACTAGATCAGCAAATCCAAACCGTTGATTCCTCTTTTAATCCAATGGGTACAACTTTTTAGCTCCCTCTTCAAATCTCCATCGTATACTTGCCCCTCAATTCGATGGTCTGCGATTGACCAACCTTTCCACTTGCCTCTCCCCTCGCTTATAAATATCTCCACTAACAGCCTTTTTCAGTTTTTCACCCTCGCAAAATTTTGAGCATATTTTCGCCCTAATTCTCTCTCGCTTTTGTGCTTTCGGCGACCTGCAACTTTGCACTCTACAACTCAAGCTTTCTTTGAACATGCTCTTTTTTTTTTTTTTCCAACGACAATCAAAATAAAATAACTCAAAACCAATGTCTTACAATACGTGGCCTAAATAGGCACAAAGGATCCCCAACCACACAAACAAATGTGCTCGGAACACAGAATGATTTCATAAATCACCTTCTAGAGCCATTTTGGCTATCGAATTACAATCTATCCAAACACTAACATCAAATACAAACTCATAATGACTAAAAAAATACAACAATGACATAAACATCAAAGCCTCATTGCCCAGCTGCTCCAATTCTGCCTGATGGCCTTGAACCAGCTCCACAATCTCCTTATTGTCTACATGACACTTTATATTCTTCCACTTGTTCTTCTTGGCTTGATCTAACACCCAACAAAGTCCTACACTGTAAGCCTCCACTGAATTTCCTAAAAAATCCCTAGATGCATCCCACATTTGTAAAATCTTGTCAGATTTAAAAACTTTACCCCCCATACCCATTCTACCATTTCTGACCCAGCAACTAACATCAATATCCACCTTCTCAACAGTCCCTCTCCCCTCACCTCTACCTAGCCCATTACCCACTGCACCCCCCTTCTCCTGACTGTCTGGACACCCTGCACTATTCCCTTGCCAGCTGTTATACCTCACTCTACCCCCCCATTCACCAAAAAACAGCCAATCATCCCTAGCATATTTCACTACTCTATCCTCCCTAATCCATTTTTTATCAAAAACCCAACTATTCCTAGTTTTCCAAAGCCACCATAACAAATAGGTAGACAGACTTATCCTATCTATCATGTGGTTGACCTTGGAAGCATTGCAAATATCCCCCCACCACACCCCAAAATCAACCCCAGCTTGCTCAATCCTATTCCAAGTCACTCCCATCAACTTCCAACACCTCCTAGCTCTCTGACAATGAAACAAGATATGATTCAGATCCTCTTCTCCATCTCCACAAACTTCACAAATCCTATCCCCTCTCAGACCCCTCTTATGCAGCTGAGTCTTAGAACTAATGAACCCATGCCAACATCTCCACAGAAAACTCTTGATTTTATTTTGGATAGGCAGTTTCCAGGTAACATTCCACATATTATCAATCAAAATTTGATTACTACTAGAACACTTATCCCTCACAGCATGCTTCCTTTTCAGGATTAACTCATAAGCACTTTTAACAGAGAATAAACCTGACCTGTGACCATGCCAAATCAGCCTATCTCTCATAGTCAAAGCATTAAGAGGAATAAGAAGAATAGCCCTAGCTGTAGTAGGCTCAAAAGTTTGACTAATCAACTCTCTATCCCAACTCACCCCACTCTCCCCCATTAGCTCCCTAACCTTACCCAGCTTAGTCCTATCTTCTAGGAACCTACACTCAGGAGTAAATCCTTGAATATCTGGAATCCAGGGAGAATCCCAAATATTAGTAGTAGTACCATCCCCTATCTTATATCTAGCCCCCAAATTCAAGGATTTCCTAGCACCTAACCAGCATTTCCACATCTAAGAATCCCCCCCTTTAGCTCTCACATCCCTCAATCTCTGCTTAGGAAAATACCTACCTCTAATAACTCTGCTCATCAAAAGATTAGGTTTACTTAAAACCCTCCAGAGCTGCTTGACTAATAAAGCCTCATTAAAAGCTTTCAGGTCCTTAAATCCTAACCCACCCTCACCCTTAGGTTTAGCTAACCTATCCCATCTAGCCCAGTGTAATCTATTACCTTGCCCATCTTTTTTCCTACCCCACCAAAAATTAGCAGATTCTTTGCAGATATCATCACACACTATCAAAGGAAGTCTGTAACAAGACATGACATATGTGGGAATAGCACCAATCACAGTATTCAACAAGACCTCTCTCCCAGCCTCACTCAAATAGACATTTTTCCAGTTTGTTATTCTGTTTTTCACTGCCTCACTCACAAATTGGAATGTTTCTCTATTAGGCCTGCCTATTCCTAGAGGAAGACCAAGGTATTTAGATCTTATAACAAAATTAACCCCCTGAAGGATACCACACACCTCAGAAACAACAGAATTATCAGAGTTTTTGGAGAAGAAAATGGAAGATTTGTTCAAATTCACACACTGACCAGAAGCAGCCCCATACTCTTGAAGAATATTAATAATAATCTGAGCATGTTGAGCATTAGCCTTACAGAGTAGCAAAGAGTCATCAGCAAAAAACAAATGAGAAATGACAGGAGCAGCCTTACCAACTCTAATCCCCTGAAACAACCCACCCTTTCTAGCTTGAACAATAAGGTTAGAAAAAGCTTCAGACACAATGATGAACAAGTAAGGAGACAAAGGGTCCCCCTGCCTAAGCCCTCTGCTGGCCTTAACATACCCCACATTAGAACCATTCACTTTAAAACTGAAAGAACTAGAACACACACAAGCCAACAGCCAGTTCACAAACTTATGACAGAATCCCATCTTCACAAAAACCCTAGCCATAAATCCCCATTCAATCCTATCATAGGCTTTAGACATGTCCAACTTAACAGCCATATATTTATCCTTGCCAGTCCTTTTGCTATTGATGTAATGAATATATTCCTTAGCAATGATTGCATTGTCTAGGATCTGTCTTCCTAGAACAAATGCAGACTGAGCATTGGACACACAAACATGCAAGACAGTTTTAAGCCTATTAGCTAACAATTTAGCAATAATTTTATACATGACATTACACAAACTTATAGGTCTGAAGTCTGTAATCAAAGTGAGGTTCTTCTTCTTAGGAATGAGGGTAATAATGGCATGATTAATGCCCTTAGGAATTCTACCACACTGAAAGAAATTATTCACAGCCTCACACACATGATTTTTAATGATAGACCAAGAACTATGAAAGAAGCCCACTGTTAAACCATCTTCCCCAGGTGCCTTGTCCTTGTGCATATCACTAAGGGCCTCCCAGATCTCTTTCTCAGACACCTTCTTAGTAAGACTAATATTCATATCCTGAGAAATAGATACGGGAATACCCTCAAGATTGCAATCATTAACCCTGGGATTAGAAGATTTGAACAGATTGTTAAAATAATTCTCAAGAACAACAATAGTTTCTTGAACATTCCCACATCTGAGCCCATCATCCTTACACAAATTCTCTAACCCATTACCCCTTCTTCTCTGCTTCACAGAAGCCTGGAAGAATTTAGTATTCTTATCCCCACAACTTAGCCAATTAATTCTAGCTTTTTGGTGCCAAAAGGATTCCTCATTCTTATAAGCAATGTGGAGCATGTTTCTACAACTTCTCCACTCTTCCCAATCCCTATCAGCACCAAAAACCTCAACCTCACTCAATTTCCCCTTCAGTCTCTCAATTTCCTTAGCAGAATTATGGGCAAAAGTAGGAATCCACCCAAGGATTGCTTTCCTAACATTTCTAATTCTGCTTTGGATACTGAAAAGACTATGCCCCCCCACAGGTAAATTCCAAGCCTTAGAAACTACATCTTTGAAACCCTCATTCTCAACCCATCTATTATCAAAGATGAATCTTCTGGGACCCTTTTGCACAAAACCCTCTACATTCAGAACAAGCATGCAATGATCAGAGGAGTGAAGAGGGATATGAGAAACAACAACATTAGGATACATCCTGATCCAATCAGGGGAAAATAAGAACCTACCTAACTTTTCCTCAATAAACTCAGATCCTTGTCTATGATTAGACCAAGTAAAAGGATGTCCTAGCACTTTACTTTCAACAGCTCCTAAACCTCTGACCAAAGTTCTAAACCCAAAGAATCTACTCTCCTCTCTCCTAACCCCCCCATTCTTCTCAGAATTAAACAAAATATCATTAAAATCCCACCCCCCAAAAATCAGTTTTTACCCCACATCAAACTATGTCTTAATAAAAAAATTCCATTGAGACATTCTTTCAGCTTGGTTATTACTCGCATAAACAAACACCCCCCACTGGGAAACATCACTATTTTTAAATTTGAACAAGACTTCCATACAAAATTCAGAACACAGGATTTTTTCAACCGCAATATTAATAGACCAGCTTAACAAAAGACCCCCTCTAGTGCCTAAAGGGTTAACAACTGCCCACCTATAATCAAACTTACATATTTTGCAAACAGTTTGCACAAATTTTTCTTTTTTTTTGTTTCAGCTAAAAATAAAAAATCTGGGAGGTGAGTCTTCAAAGACTCTTTGATTTGGGAAATTGTAGAGGGTCCCCCAACCCTCTACAATTCCACACCACAACTTTCATTGATAACTTTGGGCCCAATTCCACACCACAACTTTCATTGATAACTTTGGGCCCATTTATGGCTGGCTGCCTCCACCATTTCCTCAGTCAAAACATCCATTTTCAATTTTTTATTACCACTTTCAATACCTACATGATCCTGATTAATTTCTAAACATTCATCCAGAGTTCTTTTAGCACAATTTTTCCTAGAAACCCCACTCATATTCTCATTTCCTTTCTCCCCAGAAGGTCCCCCTTTATCTAGTCTAGAAACAGCCCTGGATTTCCTACTGATAGCCTTTTTCCTTCTCAGAGGACTTCTGCTATCAGTGGAAGCAAATTGGACAATAATATCCATGAGTTGGGAGTTATTCTGGTCTTCCTCCAGAATCACATCCTCATTCACTTCCCTAATTTCCTTCCCTTTGCCCAAAATCCCATCAATCATCAAAGGCTCTTCCAATATCCCAGATCTCAGAATCATTGCCCCTTCCTCATGACTTTTGGAATTTGTCCCTAGGTTACTCCTTCATTACCCAAACCACTATTCTGATTCTCAACCCTAACTGACTCCCCACCCCCACTCCTACCCTGCTCACTACACCTAGAGGGGGAACTAAAACTTCTAGATCCCAGAAAGCTAGTATAGGTTGCTTTTAGCTAGTCACCAAATTGACCATGCTTAAACACCCCTTTCTTTGAACATGCTCAAGCTTCTACAATTGTGGTGAAGTGTAATTGAGAAAGGAACATTGATTTTCCGAATTTTAAGGCCGCAGTGCTAGTTTGATGTTGATGTTAATTAGTTGGGAAAATTTCATTTTTGATACCCCAGGTATACCTACTTTTCGCTTTTGATACCCATGATTTACACTTAATCACTTTCAGTCACTAAAGTATTTAAAATCAATCATTTTTGCCCGAAGCGTCAGTTGACCGTGAGTCAACTGACGGACACCGTCTGTAGCAGGTCGTCTACTTCTGCAACTGATAGAAAATGGCGGGCATCTCCATTACAGCAACACAAAGCTGCAGACAGTGAGTGAAAAAAAAGGAATTTGATTTGCAATGAGCAGTTCAAGAGGAAGCTCGAGCTGGAACTCAGAGATTAATGGTGCTCCAATGGAGATGACTTGCAGGTGTGGAGATAAAGTATACTTGAAGACCTCCTGGACCCAAAATAATCCGGGAAGAAGATATTGGGCATGCCCTAAATATGGGGTAATTGATTAATTTGTTATGAATTTGTGTTTTCATTTTGTTTTTAAATATGGCCTAAGCATGAATTTTTCGAATGCCCTAAATATGCCCTAAGAGTGATTTTTTTCGAAAATCTTACAATAAACCCTAAAACTGTTTTTGTTTTCGAATGCCCTAAATATGCCCTAAAACGGTTATGAATTTGTGATTTTTTTCGAATGCCCTAAATATGCCCTAAGAGTAATTGATTAATTTTTTCGAATGCCCTGAATCTTGAATATAGGCGCTGAAAGGTTGGTTTTTTATGTGATTTAGTTTGTTGAATTGATAAATTTCTGCAATATTTCTTGATTAAAATGATATATGCACTTTACTCTAAGAGTGAAATTTTCGCATGCCATTTTTGCAGCAAAAGTTTGGTTTTTGCGGGTTTTTTATATGGTATGATCCGGAAATTTGCGCAAGAGCAAAGAATATTATACCCGGTTTGCTGGAAAAATCAAATAAACATCAATATCAAATTGAGCAATACAAGTTGAGGAATGCTGAAATGGAAGCTCAACTCTTGGTGGCAATGAAAAAAGTGGATGACATGAACAATGCATTGGTTGAAAATGAGCAATACAAGTTGAAGAATGCTGAATTGGAAGCTCAGCTGTTGGTGGCAATGAACAATGTGGATGACATGAAGAAGGCATTGGTTGTGTGCAAGAATAAGATCAAAAAATTATGGGCTGCTACCATTCTTCTCTCATTGTTATACCTTGTCAAATTATGTTCTAACTAGAATTAGATAGTTATGGTTTAGGGTTTATTGTAAGATTGTTATTATGTAATGTTTTATTAATGCAATTCCTGTACCATTTTTAGTATGAATATTGTTATGCAATCCATGTACCATTTTCAATGAGTTATGTTATGTATTTGCAATATGAAGAAGACTCCTAAAAAAAGGGTCAATGAGTTATATATTTCTATTTTCAATGAATATTGTTATGCCAAACTGCTAGACATTCCTGAACTGAGCCGTAGATCCTTCCTTTCACTGCTTGCCTGTCCCCTGCTGGAGTTCCTGCTACTAGGCTAGAATAGCTAAAAAAATAGGCTAGCTTCCTTTTCCTTAGTTATTTGTTTTGAGAAGACCCTCCAACACCACCATTTTCAATGAGTTATGTTATGTTATGTATTTGCAATCCATGTACCATTTTCAATGAGTTATGTCATGTATATGCAATCCATGAAGAAGACTTCACATCCATTAAGGACAGACAAATGATATCAAATACTGAACAAATTATACACACAAGCAAACCAAAGCTTCACACCAAAAAAACATCACTACAGAACAAACATATCCATTAAACATCACACAAGAACTGAATTTCTGTCCAGTGCACACTAGAACTGAATTTATGTCCATAACAACACAAAACAGTCACACACAATAAACATATCCTCAAATAGTCACACACAATTATCAAAACATCACAAACATATCCATTAAACATCACACAAGATAATGTATTTCTGTCCATAACACTCACACACAATAAATCAATACAAATGAATCACACACAAGATAATGTATTCCATCTTCAGCATATCCTCAAATGGATTTTTGTGCCTCATTTTGCTTTGAAGTCCCCTGAGCAGCAGCAACAGCTCTTAAATTTGAAAGGGTAATGTAGTTGACACCTCCCTTCACAATGACTGGTCCATTTCCAGAAGATGATTGCATCATCTAAAAGTAGAAAATTTGATTTATGAAGCTTAAATATTATATACATATATATATGAGAAAAAACAACATGCACAAAAGATAAAAAAAAAAAAAAACTTACATTAATTGAAGACACTATGTTTGTGCCTCCACTTAAGTTTACACCACCAACTGTGGCAGACTCTCTCCTCCTCTTAACCTATTTTGTGCAAAACAATTACAAATGACAGTGTCATTCCAACATAATAAAAGTTACATGTAATTGAAGAGTGAGATTGAATAATAAAAGTTACAACTAATCAAATCAAATAATACTTTCATCAAATTAAACTTACAGGTAGCTTTGATCTTTTCTGAGACTGAGAGTGATGCTTAGACTGGGACTGAGACTGAGAGTGATGCTTAGACTGGGACTGGGACTGAGACTGAGCTTGAGACTGATATTGAGACTGAGCTTGAGACTGAGATTGAGACTGAGATTGAGACTGAGACTTAGATTGTGACTGAGAATGAGTGCCACCCATGCTTCTTGCCACTGGAGTTCTACTTTCAGACTGTTGATTCTTGCAAGTTCTAGAGTTGTGGCCTTGTTTACCACACTTTCCACATTTCACTGAATTTTGAACCTTTTTAAGCCTGGTTTCAGAGGATGGAGCAGGAGGCTCATCAGGTTGTCTCCTCCTCAATTTTTTGGGCCTACCAGGCCTATTTTCATATATTGGTGGCAAAGGAGCTGGTAAATCACATGTAGGCCACAATTCAGAACATGAAATTCCCATGATGGCATTTTCATATGCATTTCTGTATGTGTTTTGACTATACAAGTCATCAACATAGCACTCAGGATCTTCATGTCTGCACCAAATAGCAGCACATGCATGCTTACAAGGGATTCCTGTCAAATCCCATTTTCTACAGCTGCAGCTCAGTCCAGCAACATCAACAGTGTGTTGATCATAAGGGCCTATGATTTCAAAGTGCCAATCATCACTTTTCATTGGAATGCACTCTGCACCATCTTTCATGTTTTTTTGAAGTATCTTTTTTATTCTAGGGCAGATCTTCCCTGACCAATTTTTAGCTGCATCTCTATTCACTTGCAGTCTTGCCATCAATAAGTGCCTTATTGTTTCAAGCATCACAATGACTGGCTTGTCCCTTGCATTCAGGATGAAAGAATTGAAACACTCACACATATTGTTCAGTAAAATGTCACACTTCAGTGAAGTTTTGAAGTGAGACCGAGACCATTGACTAGGAGGTTTTTTTACCAGCCAGTCATAAGCATTTGGATCCAATTCTTTCAATTCATTCATCTTTGCAGTAAAAACTTCCACCCTAGTAGCTCTAGCTGCAGCCCACAAAAGATTTTTTATAGACTGACCAACAAAGCCATCTCTTTTCATGTTACTGTGTAAATGTCTAACACAAAACCTGTTTTCACAATTAGGGAACAACTCTTCAAAGGCAGGGATGAGCCCTTTCTGTTTATCACTCATGAAAGTCCATTCATTATCAATCTCTAAATCATTCTCTAACAACCTCAAAAACCACAACCAAGAATCTTTATTCTCATTTTCAACTATTGCATAAGCAACAGGAAAAATCTGGTTATTTGGGTCAATGCCCACAGCTGTTAAGAGTTGACCACCCTGGGGGCCTTTCAAGAAGCACCCATCAACCCCAATGATTTTTCTGCAGTGCTTAAAACCTTTCTTGCATGCATCAAAACAAATATACAATCTTTGAAACACAGGTTGTCTAGATTGCTCTTCACAATTGCTCAGTTTTAGAACAACAGTTGAACCATGATTGGACCTTAACAACTCTAAACAATAGCTTCTAATTGAACTGAATTGTTTTTTTAATGTTCCATCCAGAAGCATCATTGCTTTCTTCTTGGCCCTGTAGGCTTGTTGCCTAGAAATATTGGACTTCAACTTGGTACACAACATACCCCTAAACTCATTGACTCCTAACTTAGGGTACTTCTTAAATTTTTTCATGAAATTCTTCCCTATCCACCCAGATTTGATGCTAGGATTATTATAGTTCCAAGAACAACTCTTGTGGTTTTTTTCATAACACTTCACCTGCCAAGATGAGTCATTTTGCATTGGTGAAACAAAAATATACCACCCACACCCCTCTGTGGTACACCTAGCTCTCAATCTTCTTTTGTCATTCCTATCAAAACGAATCACCATCCCTCTTCTATAGCAGAAACCCTGAATAACATCCTTAGCCTCTGATTTTGTACTAAAAATCATCCCTAAAGTCAACTCAGGGTTTTTGTCAGTTTTAGGATTATATTTAGGGAATTTCACAACTTCTTCATCCTCATCAGACCCTCTAACACTTTCAAATGAATCACTATCCCCTAACTCAAGATCATGCTCTTCCTCAAATATACCCTCAGACAAAAACTCATTTTCAATTGATTTACCATTATTTTTTTCATTCACCCCAACAAATTCTGCATCTTTGTCAACATTTCTGTCAAACAAAATATCATCCTCATCCATATCATAGTCACTATCATTGAACTCCTCACATTCTGAATCACTATCATCAACAGAAGCACACTCTTCATTTTGTTCATGTTGTTCAGATTGTACAGATTGTGCATGATGTTCATGTTGTTCAGATTGTTCAGGATGTTCAGGTTGTTCAGGTTGTTCAACATTAGAGTTCAGGCTACCCAAAAATGAGAGGTCAATGACAGGATCACTTTCAACCTCAAGATTAGAGTAGTTATCACCATGATGTACATGTTCTAAAACAATTCTCACTATTCTGTTTTCAGGAATAAGGTTCATGACCTTATATGCCAATTGATCACTATCAATAATATGACTACCATCTTGTAAACTAATTCCATGCACATGCCAGGCATTCACATGATCACTGTTATAACCTAGTTGCTCTATAAAATCCTTTAACTCAATCAACCCAAACATCTCCCCATCCACCCCATCAAAATAATCCAAATACCCACCTCGGTAATCTTTCACAGGAATATGCAACATTAAACCACCGTGCAGAAACTCAATTGTGAAGACAGTTGGTTCCAACAAAGGGTCTACAACACAGGAAAAAAAAAAGAAAATCAAATAAACAGAACTGAAAAATAGTATGCATAAACACATAGTGACAACTAAAAAACCCCTAATTTGTTCAGATCATAATCGAAAAACCCCTAATTTGTTCAGCCCTAAAAAACCCTAATTTTTAGGGCAACTCACAATAATCAGATAATACGGAACTTTTCAAAATTAACCATATAATTTCCATTAATTCAAAAAGTTAGTGACCAAATGAAGTGAAAAAACTTACCGTATTCAGGTTGCAACCCACGTAGAATCCTTCTCGCCATGAGTCAGATGGGCCGTCGCAGTTCTAAATATGCTCGTTGCAAATCAGAATCTTCTCATCGCAAATCTGAAATGGAAGCTCACAATGACCAGTCGATTGCCCACTTGAACGCGATAAATGAATGAAATTTTTGTACATGTAAAATGTTAGGGTTTTTTTCACAGCAATTAGGTATGCTCGATTGGGAATTGGGAAAATTAGGGGAAACCGATTATTTAGGTTTCATTGGGGAAAAGAACCGGCTACAGAAGGTGATGGTCAGTTGACTCACGGTCAACTGACGCTTCGGGCAAAAATGATTGATTTTAAATACTTTAGTGACTGAAAGTGATTAAGTGTAAATCATGGGTATCAAAAGCGAAAAGTAGGTATACCTGGGGTATCAAAAATGAAATTTTCCCTTAATTAGTTATATGGCAAATTTAAGCCTCGATCTTAACGTGTTCCATTTTAGTTATTATAAAATAAAATGAAATGGGCGTCGTATTTGAGGTTGAAGTGAAATTGACATATATAAAGACACGTGCCTGCCCAAACACAACACCCCCTTTCTTGCAACTACTTTAGACACAGTTCGTGAGGTGAGTCCGTGAGAGTCTCCATTTCTCATTTTCTTCGCATTTTTTCGATACAAACGAGAGAAAAGAAATAAAGGCCCTCTCTCCAAATACTTCCCGAAACACACTCTCCATTTACTCTCTCTTCCATTCTCCTCTCCCTTTCCCTCACCGTCCGTATACACCCCTTTCTCTCTCTATCTCGAACAAGAAAAAGAAGAAGAAGAAGAAGAAGAAGAAGCTTTTTGAAGCGATGGCGCAAGTGGTGGCGACGCGACTCATTCACGGGTCGTTTGCAGCGAGTACTGGCTCGGGAACTCCAGAAAGCCGCGTGGAGAAGCTGAGTCCGAGTTCTGGCTTCCCGGCGAAGGTCTTGCCTCATGCTGAGAGGAAGAGCCGCCGCCGTGGGGGTTTGCATGTCAGCTCCCCGATCACGGCGGTGAGATCTGCGCGTGTCGAGCAGGAAGTCATCCCCGTGTCTCCTGAAGACGTTCCAAAGGTACTCCTCTGCTCCCCTTGTCGCGGTCGCGCGTGCTATGCCTGTGTTCGAATGTTATTTTTAATAATTCCTTATGGTCTTGGTGATTTTCTGGAATGCAGATCTGTTAAGGAGGGAAAAAAGGTTTGTTTCTTGCTTCATTTATCTCGTTTATCATGCGGATACGGATATTCAATGCGATTTTAGAGTTATTTGGTGTCTTTCTTTGTATAATTGTTTTGTTTTCTTTTCACTTTTTGAATTTTGTTGAAATGGAAATACTCACTTTATAATTTGGAGCCAGCAACAATCTTCATGTGGTATGGCAAACTGCTTTCGCTTCTAGTGCTCCTTTTTTCTGGGATGGTGTCAATTTGCATATCTTGAAATCTTGGTCTACTGGAGTTTTCAGAAAGTGGTTTGGTTACAATAAAGTTCCTTTTTATAAGGAGAAATTACAATAAAGTTCCTTTTTAGAAGGAGAAATCATTGTTGCTAGTTCATCGGGCTTACTGATTTAATTTCTTGAGTGCAAGATCATAATTGGAAAACTGAATCTGACTCTTATGAAGGTGGTGGCCTGGACTTCATCATTAGACCTCGAACAACGTAGTTTCAATAGTTGCCCGTTTCAATGTTGCTATTCTGTGTTTGCGAATATAGTTTCTCGCTATCAGATGTATTTAATGCTAGTACAGCCGGAATATTTTATCATTATACTCTTAAAGATTTTTATGTGTAATGAACAAACAATCAAGCTTTCAACGAAATATTTTCATTTGCTTTTGGAGTCTGTTACAAATACAGTTCTTATTATTCATTTTTCTGTTTATCAGGTTACAGAGCAGAATCAGTATCTGCAGGGAATTCCACAACTTGGTGACTCATCTGTGGGCATGCTGCCTAAGCCTAATGTTAGGCGGAAGACAAAGATTGTTTGTACAATTGGTCCTTCTACCAACACTAAGGAGATGATATGGAAACTGGCGGAGGCTGGAATGAATGTTGCTCGTCTTAATATGTCTCATGGAGACCATGCATCACACCAAAAGGTCATTGATTTGGTTAAGGAGTATAATTCCCATGCAAAAGACAACGTTATCGCCATCATGCTTGACACCAAGGCAAGTATTTTGGTGCTTGGTTTTCTGACCTTTATGTAGTGGTGTCTGTTTGGGTGGGTATGTTCTACAACTTCAGTATGTGATATTTTTATGGGAGTAAAAGTTATTTTCATTGGTAAGGTTAATTTGAGGTTCGTAGTATTTCCAAAAGAAGAAAAAGTAAAAGAAACAGTTGACTTTGAAAGTTACATATAGTCGTAAAACGATCCTTGTGGATTGTTTCTTCTTACATTATGCCCCGACTGTTAGTTGACGGGATAAAATTTGGTTAAACCCAACTTTAAGTACACCCTTCAACTAGTCAAATATTTATACCCGACTTTTGTTTGCCTATATTTGAAAGACCTATGAGCTGAGGGTTGTAAAATGTGAAGTTTAAGAAGATTGTTGCTATTTTCAATATTTAGAAAATCTAAGAAACGTAACGGCCAAAATATTTTATGGCACTACCAATTTCTGTTAGCTCCACTAGTTTCAGGTGGCAGGTGCAAAATGTGAGACAGGTCAAACATCAAGTGTATTTTTCTTAATTTAGAGGTTGCCTGGGTTCTTTGTAATTTGGAAGTGTCATTTGTGTTCTAAATGTCAGCTTTACGACAATGTCTGCCTTGTACACTCACACTATTGAAATATTAGATGCAACATAATACGGAATATTGTACAAACATCTGTTTGTCTGATTTTCTTGTATTCAATGAATTTGTTCTTAATTATCATTTGACTTCTGGCAGGGTCCTGAGGTAAGGAGTGGTGATTTGCCTCAGCCAATCATATTGGAAACTGGTCAAGAATTTACTTTCACAATCCAAAGAGGAGTTGGTACAGCAGACTCTGTTAGTGTTAACTATGATGATTTTGTTAATGATGTGGAAGTTGGAGACATGCTCCTCGTAGATGGTACATTACTATCAGTTTCATTTCATTATTTTTTCTGAAGAGAAGTTTGTGTCTACTTCCTATCCAGCTGTAAAGTTGATTACAGAACACTTTCTTCTCTGCTTCATATTGTGGGCCCATCTCATTCCTTATTTCACCTGAAATAATTGTTTATGTATATTTTTGTAGCTCTGTATACTTATTGCCTTTGACTACTACTTAATGGTTGTGCAGGTGGCATGATGTCATTAGTTGTAAAGTCAAAGACTGCAGATTCTGTAAAATGTGAAGTTGTTGATGGAGGAGAGCTTAAATCTCGCAGACATCTTAATGTTCGTGGGAAAAGTGCTACACTTCCATCCATCACTGGTCAGTCCAGCCACCATATCATTAAAGTTGACAAATCTTGTCCCCATTCTCAAAAGCAATTTACTTATATGGATGCTTGTCAATTTTCTTTGTTTTACACACAACAGAGAAGGATTGGGATGACATAAAATTTGGAGTGGATAACAAAGTTGACTTCTATGCCGTTTCCTTTGTCAAGGATGCAGCTGTGGTTCACGAACTGAAGAACTATCTGAAAAGTACACATCAGGACCTGAGCTATGTAATTTCAAAACACTACTTATGTTTTAATTGCTTTTTTCTGATGTAATAAAATATGTTATTTTTCTGCAGATGCTGGTGCTGACATCCACGTCATTGTAAAAATTGAAAGTGCAGATTCAATACCGAATTTGCATTCAATCATAACTGCATCCGATGGGGTAATGACATAAATGTTTAATTTATTTATTTATTTAATTTAATTTTTTTTTTTTTTTTTTTTTTTTTTTTTTTTTTTTTTTT